CAAAGAAAAGTCATTTTCCCAAACCCATTTGCATGCATTTTCTCGCTTTCCCATTGCCCTTTTCCAGTTTTCTGTAATTATTTCCAAGACTTTTGTATACACACACATTGCTTTCGGCCATTACAGAAGCCTGAAACTCTCTGCTTTCGGCCAGCACAGAAACATTGACAGCTATCAAAGTAAAAGACAAGTCTAGCTGTTGAAAAACAAGGCAGCTATAGGCAAAACATGCCAACTATTCCACCAATTTCGGCCACTTTATTTTGATTTGAACTTCCAACAGTTCCAACAGATTTCTTAATTTCTGTTGACTAACTACTAAGTTGGTCTACCTTCATTTCTGTGGACATCCAATCTCAAGTGTTTTTTCTTACATGTGATAGGATTTCTTCTCTTTTGTGCTTTTGTGCAAATTAAACTTTGGTTTTTTGGTTTTCCATTTGTCTTTGAACAATGATGGAGCATTCGCGTACTATTCGTAATCTGGTTTTGTTGAAATTCCTGCATGGCTTCTTTCTCTTAGTCTTATGCACGATGAGCTCATGTCCGGAATCTGAAGCATTTCCCAGCCCTACCCTGCTTGTAAACGAATCTAATCGCTTGGCTTTGCTAGACTTCAAGAAAAGAATAACTAAAGATCCTCTCAGTGTCATGAGCTCGTGGAATCATTCCATCCACTTCTGCAGTTGGGTAGGCATTACATGCCACCGTGCCACCCAAAGAGTCTTGATTCTGGAACTGGAAGATAAACAATTGGTAGGCTCCATTCCACCTTCCATTGGGAATCTTACTCGTCTAATTGATATAAGCTTGGGAATCAACAAGTTTCATGGTGAAATTCCTCAAGAACTGGGTCATCTACGTACCCTGGAAAGTCTCAACCTGTCTTTCAATTCTTTAGGTGGGAAAATTCCGACTAATATGTCCCACTGTACACAACTAAGAGTTTTTTTTTTATCTTTATTCCAATAAGATTATTGGTTCGATTCCACATCAACTCAGTTCATGGTTGAGTTTAACTGTTCTACGTCTTAAAAGTAATAATTTCAGTGGAACCACCCCAGGTTGGATAGGAAACTTCTCTTCTTTGAGGGGTCTTAATCTTGGCGGCAACAATTTTCAAGGAAGCATACCAAATGAGCTCGGGCATATAACAACCTTGAAGCTATTCTTAGTTTGGGATAATAATTTGTCTGGTATGCTCCCTTCTTCAATTTATAATTTCTTCCATATACAAAATCAGTGTTGGTAAAAACCAATTACATGGAGAGCTACCACCAAATCTCGGCATCTCGCTTCCTAATCTCGTAGAATTTTACTGTGGTGCCAACAATTTCACAGGAAATATTCCTGTATCATTGTCAAATGCTTCTAGACTTTATGCGATTGATTTTGCTTCAAATGGCCTCACGGGGGCAATCCCTGGAGAAGGACTCGGAAGCTTGCGAAGCTTAATTTGGCTAAACTTTGGAGGCAATAGACTGGGAAATGGAAAACTTGGTGATTTGAGTTTTCTCAATTTCTTGACTAATTGTACTAGTCTTCAAGTACTCGATCTTAGCTACAAAGTCTTTATCTAGGGGTTAATTTGTTACATGGAAGCCTCCCAAACGGCATTGGAAATCTTATAAACCTTACCGATCTACAGATGTGTGTTAACTATTTGGCAGATGTTGTCCCTGAAGAAATTGGGAAGCTTGAGAAGATTGGGAAACTGTACTTGTTTGATAACAAATTTTCCGGGCCAATTCCATCTTCCCTGGGTAATATGACTTCATTGATAGAGTTTTCCATGTACAGAAATAGTTTTGAGGGAAGTATACCTCCAAGTCTTGGAAACTGCCAGAACCTGTTACTACTTGCACTTCATAATAACAATCTAACGGGCAGCATACCTCAAAAGCTTATGGAGCTTTCAACCCTTTCAATTGCTTTGGACCTGGCTGAAAATTATTTGACCGGTTCACTGCCAAGTATTGTGGGTGATCTGGTGCATCTCACAGAACTAGATGTATCAAACAATAAGTTATCAGGTGAAATCCCCAGCACCATCGATAGTTGTACTAGTTTGGGGCGCTTGTACTTGGATGACAACAAATTTGAAGGAACAATTCCTCAGTCTCTTAACGATTTAAAAGACTTGGAAGAACTTGACATTTCAAGCAATAACTTATCAGGGCAGATTCCTGAATTCATAAGCAAGCTTGGAGCACTTAAGTATCTCAATCTTTCGTATAATGATTTTGAAGGCGAGTTGCCTAAAGAAGGATTTTTTTCAAATGTCGGTGGTGTCTCAGTTCTTGGAAATCATAGGCTCTATGGTGACATCCCACAATTACATCTACCTGCATGCCCCAAAAATAAACACCATTCATCTCGAGAACTACTTTCCCTAAAAGTAGTCATCCCTATATCTTGTGCACTTGCATTCATAATTGCTCTATCATGCTTCTTCGGTGCTCGTTCAATGCTGAAAAAGTCAAGAGATGGACTTGTAACTTCGCGTTCTTATAAGGATTGGAAATTAGGTGTTTCCTACTCACAACTTGTTGAATCGACTAACGGCTTCTCTGTGGATAATTTGATTGGTTTGGGAAGTTTTGGTTTTGTTTATAAAGGGGTAATTCCTAGGGGTGGAAAGGTAGTTGCTGTTAAGGTATCAAACCTTCAACAACGAGGAGCGTCCAAGAGTTTCAATGATGAATGCAAAGCTTTAAGAAGTGTCAGGCACCGAAATCTTCTCAAGATCGTAACTGCATGCTCAAGCATTGATAATCATGGTAGAGACTTCAAAAGTCTAGTCTTCGAGTTCATGCCAAATGGAAGTCTTGACTCGTGGTTGCATCCTAGAGATGAGGAGCAATCTCCAAGTAAGAGATTGAATTTTATGTAAAGATTGAACATAGCCATTAATTTTGCTTCTGCGTTAGATTATCTCCACAACCATTGTGAAACGTCCATTGTTCATTGTGATTTAAAGTTGATCAATGTACTTCTTGATGAAGACATGGTAGCCCATGTTGGGGATTTTGGTTTAGCAAGGTTCCTCTTGGAAGCATCAAATGATCATTCCCTCAGTCAAACAATGTCATCGCAACTAAAGGGTTCTGTAGGTTACATTCCTCCATGTATGAGATTCCATCATTCTAATTTCTTTTTTTGGTTCTTATTAACTTATTACTAAAAACTAACTAATTAAATTATATATATTAAAGATATACTATTGACTCTTTTTCCTAGAAACAATTAACATTAATCTGAAATAAGATATCAATTTTAATAGTCAATTGCATGTGACATCTTATTATCTATATGTATGTCACAACAGAGTACAGCATGGGAGGCCAAGTTTCCATATTGGGAGATGTTTACAGCTACGGGATACTCTTGCTAGAAATGTTCACAGGAGAAACACCTACTGATGACAAGTTCATCGAAGGTTTAAGCATTTACAAATTCGCAGCCATGGCTTTGCCCGACCATGTCATGGACGTTGTTTACCCTACATTGCTCCTCGACCTCAAAGCTGAGGGTAGTGTTAACGATGACAGATACGAAAGAACTGCGCTGCCTAGACGTAACAATCGCGGAGTGGTGAAAGCAAAAAAGGTAGAGGAATGCTTGTTTGCTGTGATGCAGATAGGACTTTCCTGCTGTGTAGTATAACCAAGGGAGTGGATGCTTCTGAATATGGTTGTCGGAAAAATGAGTGCAATTAGAGACTTGTACCTCAAAGTTCAAGAAGGCTAAAGAAGGACAAATATATGCTGCTTGTGGTTTTTCTTTTCTTGTTTTTCTGTACTTTTCCTACCATCGCTTTGAACCTTGCCTCTTTTATGTTAGCTGCTGTTTTAAACGGACGAAGTTTTCATTTGTATGACTTGAAGCTTTCAAACTCTTATTTGTGTGGAGCTATTTGTAATTGTCTTGGTTATGTCAATCTTGTTTAGAATCTGATAAACTCAATGCTTAAGCAGTTTAGAACATTTCAGTCTCATATTTCTTCTCAAATGATTGCATGTGCTACACAAGTTTTGTTGAGAATTCTTTTTTTATTTTTTTGTTTGTGGCACGTGGGTTTTGGTTGTGACGAAGGATTTGCTTCAAGGCAGGTATAAATATGTTATCTTTCGTACTTTATTCGCCCGCACATACATGTGCAAAAGGGTTATGCGAATAAGCCTTGTGGATATAGTTAAGCCCGACGTTACGCCTATTATTTGTCAAAGTTTTGCGCTCCTAAAACAAAGCTGAAACACTCAAAGAGATAGACAAGAATGGTCAAGATTTAACTAGAAACTAATATTGAAGATTTAGTTTTTAGGCTTTCATTATTTCAAATAATAGGAGTATAAAAATAATTCTCATTTTCTTTTTCTTCTCTCTAACCTTGATATGGCTTACATGAATTTCTATATTGTGTCATGTTCTCTCTAACATTTGCTTGACTTGATTTTATAGGCAAATGAATAAGCTAGTATGACTCCAAAAACCCATTATTCCATTCTTTTATGTTTTCCGTGAGTAATTTTAATATTATTATATCAAGTCATTCCCCTTCCCAACATAAAATTAATAAATAAGAAAAACAAATTTTGTTGTATAATTTTTTTTTTAAATAAACGATATTATCGATCGAGAAGTAGGTTAAATCTAGCATTAGACTAGTAATAATGTGGTTTAAATTCGTCTTTAGCGATGGTCAAACCTAAGATATCTCCACTTACTGCTGATGATGAATACTATTAGAGTGCGTTTGTTGCACCGGACTAGCTTTAGGGACTAAGCTGGATTGGCTTAGACTAGACTAAGCTGAACTGATTTAATGAAACGTTTGGTAAAATGCCGGACTAAAAAAAAAGAATAGTTAACAACTATAATTTTATATCATTAAATACACATTTAATAATATTTTATTATTAACTCAATAATATTTTATTTTTTATTCAAGCTTTTTCTTTGTGGTTGTGTCTGGAACACTCTCCTCTCCTTAGGAGTTCATTCTTTTCTTCCTCGTTAGTGCCGTTCCCCAACACTCATTTTTTCCAACAAAACAATATCCTTCAAAGCGATTTTTCCTGCAAAATCGTCCCTAAAGCTACTCTCTCCCTTTCTCTATCCATTTCTCGGGAATTTTCTGGGAAAGTAATTTTTTCTTTTGGGAAATTTCTGGGAATTATTGCGAATAAGGAAGAATTTTTATATGGCGATTGTTGTTGTTTTTGTTTTTTTTTTTTTTTTAAAAATTTTGGTGTTTAGATTTAGGCAGTGGGGAAAGAGAGAAGCAGATAGATGGGCAAGGGAGAGAGAAGCAGATGAAGCAGGGCAAGGGAGAGAAGCGGACGAAGAGAAGTAGATGGAGTGAAGCAGCGAACGTCTTAGTAATCCGATACCTTTCGATGGGACTCGCTAAGACCTTCTAGCGACGTCCTTTATCGAGACGAGTCCCGGCTAGTCCCACTAAAGGTTGTCCTGCGTAACAAACATGGTATTGCTCTGAGTTTTAGTCCAGTCCAGTCCAATTCCTACTTAGTGAGGGCAAACAAACGCTCTCTTAGATCGTAATACTAAACGACAATTTTTAATTGAAACTTAAAAAGTACGTAAAATAAAAAAATAAAATAAAAAATAAAAAACAATACCCCTATGATCTATCCGATTCTCTCTCAGTCCGCCGAGCCCAACTCCCCCCATAGCGCCAATCCCCTCTTACAGTAGCATCCCTTCATCCGAGTCCTCTCCAGCTATCTTCGGTAAGCTTTGCTCTTTTCGCTTCTCGTTCTTCCTCTCTAGTTTTCGGATATGTAGAAAACTGCTGCTGTATTTTGATTATTTCCATCTAAAATTTAAATTTCTAGCCGAATGCGCATTCGATTACCTGTTTTAGGGTTCCTGTTCTGTTCAATTTATTAATCGTTTCATCTATTTACACAGCATGTTTAATTCCCACAATTTGTTTTCTGTGATGGGAATTAGGCAAACATCGCAAGCACCCAGAAGTTGAAAGAGTAATTAGAAATTAAAAAAATTTGGATTTTTTTGGGTTTTTTTGGTATTAGAGTTATGGGGCAATGAACTGCTTTGCATTGATGAATTGGTGTGACAAAAGTAAACCACTTTTATTATTTTTGTGCATAGTTGTAAAAGAGTTTGCAAATATTCGTAGTTGATCGATAAGTTGCATGATTTGTGAATATAAACACCCTGCAATTTGGCATGAAATTGTTAAAAAGTATGCAGATTTGCAAATTGGGTTAGTCTCGAAACTTTTGAATGTGCATTAGCGTTATCAGTTGATGCAGGAGCATCTGAGGGGCACTCGAAAGCTAAGTCAGCTGCCAGCCAGCTAGGCTAGGGTTCTAGTTAATTTGGGGATTCGAGTTTTTATGATTTGGATTCTGTTTCTACTGTGATTTGGCCCTATTTGATCCGCTGGACAGAAGCTTATTTTACCCTGTTGTTGCAGGAACATGGCGAAGCATCATCCTGACCTGATTATGTGCTGGAAGCAACCTGGAATAGCTATTGGAAGGTTGTGTGAAAAGTGCGACGGTAAGTGTGTAATTTGTGACTCTTATGTGTGTCCTTGCACACTTGTTCTGGTTTGCGATGAGTGCAACTATGGATCTTTCCATGGAAGGTGTGTTATTTGTGGAGGGGTTGGAATTTCTTATGCTTATTACTGCAAGGAGTGTACTCAGCAGGAGAAAGATAGAGATGGGTGCCCAAAAATTGTGAATCTGGGAAGTGCCAAAACAGATCTGTTCTATGAATGGAAAAAGTATGGTTTCAAGAAAAGATGATCATTAGCAGGTCAAGTTTCACTTAGCTTCTGGAGATCATTTTGTTTTGTTCTTCATTGAGGCTTAGCCAATATTCCAATCAGGTATTTTTCTTAGAAAACTTGCCTGTTACTGCTTGTATGTTTGACTGTTGTATTTTCTTGTTCGATATGTTTCCAACCTACTCTCATTCTGTAGGTAATCAAGCAATTTATGACTTGAGTAATTCTCACTCGTAATCTTTGTATGTGGCATGCATCTCGGGATGTTTGAACTCCTGAGTGTACTTGGAGCTTTGTTAATCCAATTTCATATGTGATTTAATATTCAGTAGACGAACTTGGCATTTCTTTTTTATCTTTTACTGAAGTTGTGAAATGGATGTATTAATTGGGGACTCCATGCTAAATATTGCTCAGTAGGTCCACGCATACTCTTTAAAATCTTTCAAAATCTCAATTGAATATACCTGGCATAATGATTTTGGCCAGGGTAGTGTGTCCTACCCTTTGCTCCCGAGTCCGATCCCTTCCCCCTAGATTAGGGTGGTCAAAAGAAAAGACCCTATTACCACGCGATTCAAGACTTATACTCTACAAATGAACACCTTTGTTAGATGTTCCAGCCATTCAAATTTCGATCAAGCTCTATGGAATGTGAAGTGTCATATTAGTGTGAATTTACAATAATATTATTCACATCGCTTCTTAAGAACACAAATCATTTGTGTGAACGAGATTATTGAAAAACATATATTTCAATATGTACGTATGTGTATACATTTATAGTACCTTAGAGTTATATTTCAACGAATCATTCTGACGTGTACGAGAAATGGAAGCACATGAATTTACTTATGGGGATGAATAATTAACAAATAGTTTTATTGTTGGTCGTGACACAAGTTCAAACCTCCTTGGATTTTCCACTTCATGTATATAAAAATTGAGAGACTTGTTGAGTTGTTTAGGTGATAAGAATGGGTAAGATCTTCTCCGGATCCTCGGCTAAGGATCCTTTCTGCTCGCAATCGGCGTAGACCTCGTAACCCTCGCCCTCGTGACCATCAGGCCTTCTTACTCCTGCTGCCACCGACAAGTGGGCGGGGATCAGATCGGCCACCAGCAGGCCAGTCTTTATCCGCTTGTTCAGAGTTGCAGCGGTAGTGGTAGTTTCCTCTGAGTCGGTGTTGGAGGCGTCAATGAATTCTCAGTGTGTGAAACCCAAGAGTTCTTCTCCGTCTTTGATTTCCAAGAAGAAGAGGAAGGGAAAGAAAGATATCTGGCCGGAGGATTTGAATTGAACGGCCAAGATAACTTGGTCCTTAGAATTTGAAGCACACAGATCCGGAGAGAATTCTTACCCGATAAGAACCAATTTTTTTTTATCTCCCATGCCTTGTAATAGCCACCACAAGCACCATTGGCTGGTCAAAAATGCCAATTGGCAACACCAGCATCTGCTAAAAGATTATCACCTGCAGCAACACGTCATGAACCAATTTCCTCTATTCAAGCAGCACAGCAGCTTGTTTGCTGAACATTTCTCATGCCAACCAAATTTTCTCATCACTAAAAGTCAAGGCAAATTTGTCGCCTACCCTTCAACTTCACTGCTACCAGCAATCACTTAGAACTGCACCCCCACTTTATTATTTTGTCCCATCATCGCACACACTAGTGGCTAGTTTAATGACAGGGACTGAAACTTATTGAGATCAAATCAAGTTCAAGTTAGTCCAATTAGTGTTCCAATTTAGTGAGACGTCTTAGGTTTGAGGCACATTGATAGCAAGGACGTATTATATTTATATTAAGTTTAATGCTTAGTAAATAGTTGATTTATTGTATGGCCTAACCCAGCCACCCTTCCCTTAGTAGATTATCCCATCCACCCTTCCCTTAGTAGATTATCCCATCCACTTAAATGCAGAATATTGTTGTATCAAAAAGTTCTTTCAGCACCCTCCCTTAAAGTAGATTATCCCCTCTGTTTAGACGTGGAATATATTTGTTTTAAAAAATAGTCTTTTATGCAACGAAAATGCTACCTCAAGTTAATTGTACACTGTCGTGTGGAAAAATAATATGGTAACCACTTTTGAACTCAATAGTGGTCTGTTTACTTACCAAAAATGAGAATGCAAAGTGGAGGTAAGGCTTTTGATTCTTTTGATTCGTTAGCGAATTTGAGAGTGACTTGGGATGTTTTAAATTTGTGATGTGTTTGTGCAGAAAAAGGATGAGGCGTACTTCATGGCTCTGTTGAAAACAGTCCAATCAACTCCGGGGCTGTACTTCTCGTACGAGACTGATATAACACTAAAGTAAATTCTTATACCTAGCACTCAGCCGAAGTTTAAATTTTTAACCGTTAGGGTGCCGTTTAATTACATTCCACTGTTTTCATCGTTGTTGTGTGATTACTGTTCAAAATCTTATTATGTCAATTTATGTATCTATTCGGTAAAGTGTTGTGTTTGTTTATCTAATCATATATAATTGATCCTTTCCACTAGCTTTCAAAGAAGATGTAAGTTAGTGGAAGGATGGATGGCCAAACCAATATGGAAGCAGGTTAGTTGGAAATTTGGAATATTGGGTTTATCGGGACCTGATTAGTTCTTGAAAGTGATTCATATAAGCATATATATTGCCCACGTGTTTAGCTTACTAGGCATCCTCAACTCTTTCCAAGTCAGAGGGTTAATAGGGAAAGAAAGGAAAACCGCCCTAAGGATTTGCCTACTTTTGTGTTTTTGTGCACTATACTTATCTTTCGTTCTCAAGGTGAAAGTTTCAGCTCAACAAAGATGCCTTCTCAGTTCATATCCTTGAAGACATGCCATACTTTGTGCAATTTTTTGGTTGTCAAGTGATTCTCCCTTCCCCTTTATCCAAAGGATTTTTTGTCAACACTAGAAGACGAGACAGCGTGAGTATCGAGTCAACTGACACACCATATCATATGGATGTTTATCAGTATTTTCTCATAATGCCATTTTAGCTCCTATCAAATGATTACACATTACGATCTATGAATAGTAATTGCTTGGTAGTTTTTAACATTATTTGTGTTTCCAGGCTGACCCTCGATTTGTTTGGAACAGAAATCTTTTGGACGAACTTATCGAGTATAAGGTTAGACTTTCCATCTTTGAGGTCATAATTAGTTAAACAATTTGAAGTATTTTCTCGCTTGCCACCACTTAATGTATATCTTTAAGGAAGAACAGCATTTTCAAAAGTCGTCAGTTCTTCGCGCACAAATTTTATTGCTAATGCTCATTAATTTTCTCATGGCAGCTTGATGGGTTCATTATTCCTCTAATACAAGGAAAGATCCTGAATTTACTGATTTGTTATGTGTATATCCCTCTCTCTCTCTCTCTCTCTCTCTCTCTCTCTATCTCTCTCCCTCTCTCTAAGATTGAGATTCAGAGTTTACGTGAGTAATATGTTATGGTGTTCCTTAACCTACATTTAAGCTTCCAGACTGCACAGCAAAAGCTAAAGGGCTTATCTGCCACACTTACGATAGTCTCAAGGAGGTGTACCTGGCATCTAGGTACAATCTTATAGAGATGATTGATTCTTGTAATCACTTTTGTGTCTGTATCTGCATGTTTTGAAGGACTTAAACATGAAACACTGTAATGTGGTCGCGTAAGGACAAGAATGTGGAGAAGAGGAGCCAACCTTCATGGAGATGTTGCTAATTTTATTGAAACTGAGCGGTTGGTGGAGATTGAAGGTTTCCAGTCCTCGTTATTGCAGGTAATTCTCATATGAAGGTTCAGAAAAGAAATGTGTGCTGAGGTTATATTGTATCGGAATATTTTTAGTTACTATTATGTTTCTTTGCCTAAATAGGACATTAGCTTATATCATGGTGTCATTGTACACGTGATCAACTAAGTTGGCCGAGGATTAAACATTTGAGAAAAGTATATTCTGTTGAGAATGAATCGCATATTGATGGGAGGAGAGACCTTGCATGAGCTTATAAGTAAATTGGGTTAATCCCCATATTGCCAATTGGTTTTAAGATGGAACCTCAACTTTCTTCACGTTCTGCGCTCCTTGTTGATGTGAGAAATATCATAATTGTAGAACTTTGTCTTTATTTTTCTGAGGTTGATGGACTGCCCCTCACATAGATGAAACTTTTGTACAGTTTAGCAAGGATAGATTGGTTTTGCCAACTTTTATACATTTAGAAAACTTTTCCAATGCTATACTTTCTAAATATGCAGACACTGTTTCATTATTAGCCCTTAAGACTGATAATAGATTGGAAGTTTTGTCATAATCTAATACGAGAAGATTTATTTATTTATTCCTTTTTTCTGAATAAAACCCTCCATAATATTTTTGATATGTTTTCCAGATTCGTGGTTCAATTCCATTTTTCTGAATAAAACCCTCCATAATATTTTTGATATGTTTTCCAGATTCGAGGTTCAATTCTGCTTCTTTGGGAGCAAATTGTTGACTTGAGCTATAAACCACAACTTAGAATTATTACTCATGAGCAGACGGTAATTTGTTGCCAGAGGTGCAAATCCATTCCTTTTTACTCTTTTCTTGGCTTGATGGTACAGTTCCCTTGTTTGAGTTGTGTTGTGAATTTTCCCATCCACTTACAGTCAAATGTTGTGGAGCGCCATTTTTTTGATCTTTTGCAAAGGTATGGAGAGACAATGGCAGTAGACCTAACTGATAAAGTATGGGTTTCTTTTCTTTTACATTTTACTTTGAATTTAACAATCCTTGCACACTGATCCACCTTTACGTTAAGCTGAAAAGTTTGCAATTTTTTTCCTTCAAATTGTGTTTGTACGACACGCTCACCTTTTTGTGGCTCTGGGATTTGCTAAATAAGCAATGATGTCTATAATTCTTCCCAGCTGACTGCTTGTGCTACACAAATTTTACTGTTTTTTTAACTGTATGCAAAGTATATGTTGTTTCATAAATTTCAGTTGTTAGAATTTTTCCGTTTATTGTTATTTGTAGCATAGAGGTCGCACTTGGTGCGATGGCAAGTGCCTTCGCCCATAAGCGGTAGGTCTCGGGTTCGAGACTTGGGAGCAGCCTCTTCATAAATGGGGGTAAGGCTAGCCGACATTTACCTCTCCCAGACCCTGCGTAAAGCGGGAGCCTTGTGCACTGGGTACGACATTTTTTATTGTTATTTGTAGCATGACGATGAAGGTCAACTAAGCACGGCATTTTCTGCTGAAATGCAAAATCTACCAAACGTGAGGTGACAATTTGCATACTTATATATGCAACTATGTTGGCTCCCAACTGAATCATTTTCCGACTTCAAGTTGATTTGTTTTTTGTTTTCAAGGTTGCTTATAATGAAGTCAGTTCTATTGGTTGGCATTGGGAACAATGTCAGAAATGAGATTTTGTTCTCAACTTACTGCTTATGTTTTTGTAGCAGATATGTTTCATTTGACTTTCATCATGTATGTGGTAACTCAAACTTTGAAAACCTAAAGGTTCTATATGAGGAGATCTCAGAGCAATTTGAAAAGCTAGGGTAATGAAAGCGTAATATCTGATTGAATAAGTATGCCAAAATCCAGGTATGCTGGCTATATGAATACTGTTTTTAATCAAAACTGTTCCAGCTGAGCAGATACGTCCTCGTAGATGCGAAAGGCAATACACCGGAGGAGCAGAAAGGGATTGTCAGATCAAACTGCATTGATTGCCTTGATAGAACAAATGTTACTCAGGTTTCTAAGAAAATTACCTTAGTGTGTTTGACATTAAATTGTTTACTGCTTCTTTATTTTGTAGAGTTACTTGGCCCAGATGTCTCTAGATGCACAGTTGCAGAGGACTGGAGTGCTGGATTCTTTTGAAAGCATTTCTATGTTTGCTCAAGACTATCAAACATTTAGAGAGTATGGAATTCTTCGTGTCATGTATCCTATCTTTCATAAATGATCAAACGATGTCTATAATAAATTGTTGTGCTTATTCTCAATTTTGTTGCTTTAGTGTGGGCGGTGCAAGGTGACGAGATAAGCCTCGAGTATTCAGGGACGTATGCCCTGAAAGGGGACCTGGTTAGGTAAATTCAACCGTATAGTATGACTTGAATCATGGACAAAATATATATATATCCTTTTTTTTCGAATCATATTCTGGATCCATATTACCGCAGATATGGGAAGCAGACATTTGGAGGAATAATTAAAGACGGGATGAGTGCTCTTTCAAGATATTTTTTGAATAACTTTCAGGATGGCATTCGGCAGGTAATCTGCCTCTCTTTCGCAAATATAGAGTATTGCTCATCTGCATGAAAGCAAGTAACTTCCATTTATATATACCTGCTTAAAATCAGTTTAAAATTTGTTCTGGATGCTATGGATCTTATCAGTGGCCGCTATACAGTTAGAAGGGATATTTCACCATCCCGGGCTGAATCTTTTTCTGCAAGTACAATGAATCTTTCAAAGAAATTGAAGTGCCTGAATTCCTTATCTGGTTTTATATATCCCTTTGTTATCAGTTATACAGATCCCGGGTAGGATTATAAAATCTTGGTTCATCTTCTCGGAACCTCAAAATTTTAGTGTATGATGGTTTGGGGAGTACCCTGATGGTTCAATTGCATCTCTTGAAAGTAAATTTAGTAAGAAATCATGCCTGCTTTAGCAAATATGAGCGATATTTAATGGATATGCTTTTAGTAATGAAAGGGGAAGTAAAATTCAATTCTAGCAAACTTGATGTTTGATTGGCCGGCTTGGCATGTAATCGTCATTAGTTGGCCGCGAATGAAGGTAACTTGTGCCACTTTTAAAATGGCTTCATCGAATCTATAGTCAAGTTTTAAGTGTGAGAACAAACATTGCAGTATCTACCGGTGGCATCAGCTTTGCTAATCGGAAGGTTGACACTGACATCCGTCACACTTCAGCAAGGTATTACTATTATTTTGGTTTTGCCTGAAATCTTAGTACATGGAACTTCGTTCTCAGGTGCGAGTTCTATTCAATATTCACGAAGACCTGAGAAATTTTGAATCCTATTGCAGCAGGTCGTAATGCCCAACAGTATATGTCTTCTGTTCTTTGTGCTGGAGTCACTGCTGGAGTAGCGGCAGCGGTTAAAGCAAACGGAAGGCAATTCTGTTCGAGACCTCGCTTGTGCAAGACTCGTTTAACATTATTCTGAACTTGTTCATTCAAACCGTAGAGTTACTGTTGTTGCAAGCCCTGTCATTTTTTAGCTAATATTTACAAACGATTTGTGGTTAAAATGGTAAACTTGTTTTACTATTTCCGGTTGCTGCCGATAAATTACTTAGTACATTTGGCCACGAGTTCAAATGGCAGTGCAATCGGACATGGTACACTCCTTTAGAGATTGTGTGAGATCGATAATTCAAGGGGCCACCTTGTTTACAATAGCATGGGTGTGTTTTGATAATCTTTTGCAATCCAAACAAATTGAAATTGCTCTGAATTTACTCCAAATCTAACATGATTTCAACTGGACAAAACACTTACAATGACCTTTTGTATTTACTGATGCCAGTTAAACTCATCTATCTCGATCGTTGTTAACTTTGCAAACCCTGACTAGAAATAAATATATAAAAGCAGTAGAGAAAATATGTCCTATCGCCAGTCGTTCTCTCGTGTAAAACCTAGTTCTATGCTAACTTTGATCGAGAACTTTCTAGGGGAATGACAAGGATCAGACTGTTAGGTGGCTCAACCGAACTGAAGCTGTGGACTAATTGGTCTGGCTCTTCCATTCCTTCTAAGCTGTGGACTAAGTTCGTCTGCCTCTTCTGTTCCTTCTAAGCTGTGGACTAACTACTAAGTTGGTCTATTTTAATTTCTGTGGCCATCCAATCTCAAGTGTTTTTTCTTATATGTGATAGGATTTCTTCTCTTTTGTGCTTTTCTGCAAATTAAACTTTGGTTTTCTGGTTTTCCATTTGTCTTTGAACAATGATGAAGCATTCACGTACTATTCATAATCTGGTTTTGTTGAAATTCCTGCGTGGCTTCATTCTCCTAGTCTTATGCATGATGAGCACATGTCCGGAATCTGCAGCATTTCCCAGCTTGGAAACGAATCTGATCACTTGGCTTTGCTAGACTTCAAAAAAAGAATAACTGAAGATCCTCTCAGTGTCATGAGCTCGTGGAATCATTCCGTCCACTTATGCAGTTGGGTAGGTATTATATGCCACCGTGCCACCCAGAGAGTCTTGATTCTGGACCTGGAAGATAAACAATTGGTAGGCTCCATTCCACCTTCCATTGGAAATCCTACTTGTCTAATTGAAATAAGCTTGGGAATTTACTTGTCTAATTGAAATAAGCTTGGGAATCAACAAGTTTCATGGGAAATTCCTCAAGAACTGGGTCGGCTACGTACCCTGAAAAGTCTAAACTTGTCTTTCAATTCTTTAGGCGGGAAAATTCCAATTAATATGTCCCACTGTACACAACTAAGATGTTTCGATCTTTTTTCCATTAAGATTATGGACGTTATGAAAATTGCCTTCACTATAAAAGTATAAATTGTCGTTTTTTTTTTTATAAATATTTTGGAGATTGGCTATTTTTCAAGGCTTATAGTGAAGGTTGTATATATATTGCATGATATCTCTTCTTATAGAAAGAGAACAATGTTGAGTAGAAATTTTTTGATTTCTTAGATGTTACTCTTTCTTTATGTTCATAAGATATAGTCTCAATCATGACAGTATTTGTCCTTGGTTTTTTACATTGATGTTTTATGTAAATAGTTCCTACTCTATCTACGGACAATGCTTACTACACATTTAATCCGTTATTTTAATACTTATATACAACAATTATAATTCATTTAATATTCCCGCGGCAACGCGTGGACTTAAACTACTAGTCCTACCTAAAATAAGACTCCAAGAATATTTACAATTAAGACTCAAATCAACATAATGTGCATTCTGATTTATAAGTTTGTCCTCTGCATGATGTTTGTTTTTTTTTTCCCTAACCTATTGCTTTTAGTGCTTTGCAACTTGTTTTGATGTTTTGATGCGATTAAATGGAATGAAGAAGGGCTTTAAGTGAATTAACAACATTTAAGAGTGGAGTTAGTAATGGACAAGTGACATACTCTAAGAGAGGCCGTAAAGAGGTCAGACACTGCTTGGTTGCAAAAGATTTGAACTCAGAGTTGGGAGTCTTCCACTAACTTCAAGTCACCATTTTGGTGCAATTTCAAAATTATCGTAAAAAAAGATTTGAACTCTGAGGTGGGAGTCTTCCACTAACTCCAAGTCACCTTTTGGGTGGTTTTTCAAAATTCTCGTCCAATTGATGAAATGAAATGATAGAACATAATGTTTTAGCGGATGTTATCAGGATAGCAAAGACAAAGAAATCAATTATCTTCTAGTAAGTATCACACTAAGGAAAAAATTAATTACAATTTATAATGAAATGATAGAACATAATGTTTTAGTGGATGTTATCATGGATAGCAAAGACTAAGAAATCAATTATCTGCTAGCAAATATCACACTAAAGAAAAAAATCAATTCCAATTTATAATGAATAGAAAGAAATACAATAAGGAATACAAGTAAAATGTAAAAACGGCAATGTATAAAAAAACATAGAAAACGTCTTATTTACACGGAGGAGTCGGCTCAACTCAAGGGTAGGTTCTCAATAAGAGAGTCATCTTAGCAATTCTCTGTTCCAGCTCAACGGTCTCTTGAGTTTGGTCCAATAATGCCTATGTAAAAGAAACTATAAAAAAGTCTACTTCTGTTATTTTTTCCTTAAACATCAAAAATGGTTATTGGACAAAGGCAGAGTTGGCTAGACTACCAAGACATAGGAAACATATAGAAGCCCTGATTCGGTGAATAAATATGCTACAAAAGATTAATTTTTCGTGCAAGCCATCACTGAGAGGAGAGCTGGTCTAGTTAAATAGATGAGTTTGCGAAGAGAGGGACAGTGAGATGAGAGAGCAGCAATTCTATGGTCTGCAATTCAAAACCATGAATGGACAATGCATTGCAATGTAATCCAGATGTAAAAATCATGAGTCGCATGAGGTCTGAAGCATATGAGGTGTGTGAGTGATGAACAAATGAAACTAGGAAGCAGACATTGCAATGCAGAGTCAGAATCCAAATGTAAAAAAACAGAATCAGGAAACAAAAACTTCCTTGCAGTGTCTAAATCTGTATTGACCTATTCTAAAATATAAAAAAAAAAAAAATAGGACAAAGTGGTGCCAATTGAAGTGAGTGCCAGTTGTAATGGAAGATTTTGTAATTTTTTTGCTTATTTTAAATGCATTTAAGTATCACAATACACGATTAACCTATTTATAATTAACTTAAATATTGTAACTTTTTATTGATTCTATACAAAATCACCCTTTAAGATACAATTTTCATTAAATTTTTGTACTTATTATGGGTATTAAAAGAGAAAATTCTTTTATGCTATGTAGCTTTAAATGCTACAAGCATTGTATGGTCTAGATTGGTTTGAATTAGTTATTATTGTGGTCCCATTAATCTAGACCATCCAATACTCGTAGCATTTAGGGCTTGTTGTTTTTAGCTTTTAATAATCTTATGCGATCCAAACAAATCGAAATTGTTATGAATTTACTCCAAAGGTAACATGATTTCAACTGGACTAAACACTTACAATGCCCTTTTGTATTTGCTGATGTTGTTTAAACTCATCTCTCGATCGTTGTTAACTTTGCAAACCCTGACTAGAAATAACCATATAAACGCAGTATGAGAAAATGATAATCATGTTCAAACATTTATGAATGCTTGCATTGTCTTAAGGGTACCCAAAGCAACCGATGAAATCAAATTACCCTACAACCCCCCTTCCTTTTTGCTCCTAAGCCTATGCTTATGTGGTTATATATATTTGTATATATATGCAAGGGATACTTTGGATGCGATTCCCAATCCTTAACATTCTTTGATTAAAACCTTAATGATATTCAAAGTTTGATCAAAGTCCCTTGACTTTGTACACCTCATTATATTGCTATTAATATTTATATTTTTATAGTTTTGACATTAATTGTTTGATATTTTATGAGATTTATAATCCTATAAATTTAAAATCCCTCATTATAATACTATTAGAAACGGTTACAATAAAAGAATTCAAACATTTTGATTGAATAAATGGATAAAAACTATGTAAAAATAAGAAATAATAAATGGCAAAAGAATGTATCCATAGTGTTAAAAAAATTGGTACATTTCACATATGTACATTAATAAAGAAGAATTGGTACATTATAAATAAATCAGGGTACATATAAAAGATTAAAAAATTATGAGTACAAATGAATTTTAAAAAATATAGGCCCTAAAAGAAATTAATACATGGGTACAAAATAAAACTAAAAAGAAAATACTACAAATTTAAAAAAAAAATGTTGCAAATTAAAAGTGGGTACAAACTAAAAATATAAATATATGATACAAAGTTTAGGCATAAAAACATAAATATACCATATGTAATTTTTCTATCATTGATTAAATATATAATGTCACGTGACGATATACACATGGGTACAAACACAAATAAAACTTTAAAAAATATGGGCACAAAAAGAAACTAATATATGGGTACAAATTAAAAATGAAAAGAAAATTGGTACAAATTAAAAAATATTTACAAATTAAAAATAGGTACAAACTAAAAATAAAAATATATGATAAAAAATTTAGCCATAAATATAAATATACTAATTGTAACATTTTTAACACTAAAGGAATATATTTAAAAATAAAAAATATTTTATTATTCAAATAATTAATTATGTTATTAATACCCAAGTATCTTGATAAAAAATTAAAAATGAATAGGATTTTAATCAATGGAGTAACAAAAAGAAGGATGTGAACCTAATTTCTCCTATATGAAAACTAAGTTTACACATGCAAGATTATGTTGTAATGTCAAATTATGTGCTTGTATATATATTATAAGAAATATTATACTTGAAAGATATAAAAGATTGTGTTGCAAAAAATTAATGTTATCTGTTGGTAGATTATTTTTGTTGGTTGTTTGAAAGCACTGGAATTTTCTGTTTTGGTGTGGAGATTTTGAGTGGTGGAGGAGACCCTTTTAAGATTAGGGTCTAATATCTTCGTTGACACTCTTTTTATTTATTTATTTTATTTATTTATTTATTTTTAGTGAAGCTTATTTATTGCATGATATCTCTTCTTATATAAAGAGAACAAATATTGACTAAGAAATTAAATTTCTTAGATGTTGCTCTTTCTTTATGTTCATAAGATATAGTCTCAATCATGAGTCATGACTGTGTTTGTCCTTAGATTTTTTACATTGATGTTGTATGTAGATAGTTCCTACCTATCTACGCACAATGCTTACAACACATTAAGGCCATTATTTTGATACTTGTATACAATATTTGTAATTCATTTA